TGTCATGCAGGGACTCCGGAGCAGCTACAACCTGTTGAAGCGGCTGTCCATGGCGCCGAGCACGAGGGCGACGCTCAACGAGGACAACCTAACCTCGTACATCCTGCAAGACGAGGCAATGCAGGAGGCAGAGCGGTCCCAGGAGCTGCTGGCGCAGGCGAACTTCGTCGCCCCGGCGAAGCAAGGCGGTCGACCAGGGCAGCGTGGACAATCAGGTGGCGGTCATAGCAGTGGCTCGAAGTCGGTAAAGGAGGTCGACAAGAAGAAGTCGACCAAGGACAGTGGCCGGGGAGGAGGAAGTCGACGCCGGGAGTGCTGGCTGTGCGGCGACCCCGACCACCTCTCCTTCGAATGCCCCGACCGCAGTGACTCGGACGACGACGACAAGGGAGGCCGCATGAGGTCTGGCAGTCGTCGACCTCGTCGAGGAGGAAGTCAATCGCGCAAGGAGAAGCAGTCGACCAAGTCGTCGACCTCGGCGAAGGACGCCGACTCCTCTGCTGGCGGAAAGGGGAGCGACGACAAGTCGGCGTCGTGCTCCCTGGTCGGCGTTGTGGAGCCGACCGTCTCACTGGCGCCGGAGGCCGGAGAGGATTTCCAGGCGATGGCAGCAGCGGTGCAGGCGAACCCGGCGGTGGTCTTGCTGGACAGCGGCTGCTCCCACCACCTGATGGGGACCAAGGACGTCTTCGTCGACATGGGGCCGAGCGGCGACTTGAAGCACGTGCGTGGCTTCAATGGGGCGCTGCAAGACGTCCAGGGCCGGGGCACGGTCGCCTTGCAAGGCGAGGCCGGGAAGCAGGTTCTCATTCCCGACGTGCTGTACGTCCCGGGTGTGCGGGCAAACCTGTTGTCGTCTGGTCAGCTGAAGGAGCATGGCGTGAAGTTTCAAGAGGACGGCGACGGGATGCTGCTTGTCTCGGCAGCAGGAGAGGTGCTTGGTCGGGCGACGTACTCCGGGCGAGTCCTCTGCACCGACCTGCGTCCCTGCTCCACGAGGTCGGCGTCGCCCACGCCGGAGGTTGTGGCCCTGCGGGCGATCGTCTCCAAGACGAAGTCGACGCCGGACAGGATGCATGCTCGGCTTGCGCACGTCGGCATGGACACCATCAGGAGCTCGGCAAAGAACGAGGTCGCCATTGGGCTGGACCTCAAGTCGGCGACGGGCGCCGACCCACCGTGTGTCTCGTGCGTCGGCGGGAAGCTGGCGCGGCACACCTTCCCCGACCAAGGCTCCGACGCCGCCGACGTGCTAGCCGTCGTCCACCTCGACTTGTGTGGGCCGTTCCGCGTGGCTGCCAAGGATGGCAGCCTGTACTTCTTGCTGCTGAAGGACCGTAAGTCCCGCTACGTGTGGGTGAGGCCGGTCGCCAAGAAGTCGGATGTGCTGCTGGAGTTCCAGAAGTGGCTGGTGCTGGTGGAGAGGCAGACGAAGAAGTCGGTGTTGCAGCTACGCTCTGACCGAGGAGGGGAGTTCCTCGGCAAGGCCTTCACCGCCTTCGTGGACGGCAAGGGGATCGTCCACGACCTAACCTGCCCGTACACCCCGCAGCAGAACGGCATGGCGGAGCGGGAGATGCGGACGGTGGTGGAGTCGGTGAGGACGATGCTGCTGCACATGGGCGTGCAGCACCACTGGTGGCACCTCGCTCTGCGGCAGGCCGTCTGGATCCGCAACTGCCTGGAGCGATCGGCGACGCCGGGGACGACGCCGTACCAGCTGCTGACCGGGACGAAGCCCGACTTGTCGCTGGCGCGCGTGTGGGGCTGCATGGCACAGTTCCTCGTCCCCGAGCAGCAGCGGGGTGGCAAGCTGAAGCCGAAGGCCAAGTGGGGCCTTCACCTCGGTGTGTCGGAGGCGAGCAAGGGATGGGAGCTCCTCGACATTGCCGCCAACCGGGTGGTCACCACGTCGGACGTGGTGTTCTACGAGGACCTCTCGTTGGAGGAGTGGAAGTCGGAGCATGGGCCGGTGTCAGGGCGGACGCTAGTGTCCACGCCGACGGATACCTCGACGGCAACGCTCCCTCTACTCGCCGAGGTCGGTGAGCTTGCTGTGGACGACGCCGAGGTCGACCACCCTTCCTTTCCCTCCCCTGCCCCTCCCCTCGTCGACCTTCGTGGGCTGACTCCGTCGTCGGCCTCCGGCGATGAGGGGAGCAGTGGGACGTCGCCTGTGGCGCCGACCAAGGGCATCGCCGGTGGCCGACAGGACGAGCAGCAGGTCGACAAGCAGCAGGTCGACCTGGGATTGTAGACGACCTGGATAAGGGGGGAGCAGGTCGAGGAGGTGCAGCCGACTTGGGTGAAGCCGACAGGGGAGCAGGCAGCAACGAGGTCGACCCAGGAGCAGTCGGCGACCTGGCGGTCGACAGGGGAGCTGACCACAGGGGAGCAGTCGACCGGGAAGCCGACCGAGGTGCAGCAGGGCGACGAGGACGGCAGTGAAGATGAAGGGGAGCAGTTGGGCGACGAGGAGCTGGTCGACCAGGAGGTGGCC